GTTACCTGAATACATAACAGATCAGTCCGCATGATGGATTGCGAAATCTGAAAAGTTCTGTAAATCAGTAAAATAGCTAAAACTGGGAGTTCCGAACACTTGTTAATGGAAAGCTTCGTCAGTAGATCACTAAAAAAATTATGTAATAGATAAATATGGTTTATGGTTTATCGAAAATGGACAGTTCGTTGATTTCGAAACGAATGTGCACCTGGCAAATTTTTTAACATGTTCCTGACACTTCGCTTATGGAGAATAGTGTAAGTTGACGGAGCCTATATCTACAAAGGAACTAACCAAGACGTTTGTCCTTCGAGTTGATGATCTCATTCATATTGGTAGATTGTTGATTATGTAGGCTACATTAGTTCAGAATACCTCTGCATGTTTATGATACAGATCAGTCTGATCACAAGTAGATTGGCAGATTTACATGACGCGGCTAACTTCATCAAGATGTTCCCTAAATTCTCCACTTCGTCGAAGGATTTCATAGATGTTTCGCTGATTCCAAGATTACTTTCACCTCCAATGTTTTGACACTAGCACCAATGACCTGTTCGCCAATAAAAATGTCCTCTTTTGTCGTCAAGGGATGACAAAACAACCCATCTGGTGATAACTTCTTAATCCATAGATCGAAAACCACATACGAACTATCACATGGATAATCGTCTGTCTTTCTGAAAGATTTAAAGGAATATCCTCTGATACTCAAGAATACACATAACGTAGACTGACAGTTTAGGGACTTCGGACTAAAATTATAATACGCGGGGTTTCTACAGAAATAGGGTGGGTAGTGTACCAAAGTCTTATGAGTCATCCTGTAAGTTCAGAGCACTCAGGGCTTGTTCTTCAGCTTCCAAAGCGTCTATGTTTGATCGCCCTGAAATAGAAAGATAACAGAACGGGTTAGCAACATCATACATAGTGATTTTGACTCCGTTTCACCACCCCCTCTCCTAATGAGGCACTGTCCTCGGTGCCCGGTCTCAAACAAGGATATGCTGCTCCTCCTTCAGCTGGTATCTCATAAAAACTAGTAGCAGGTAGTGGATCTGTGAAATGAGTATCAGCAGGTAATGTTGTTCGATCTGGCTTTATTTGATTGTAGTGCACCGTCATTACATCGTCCTGAGGTAGTTGAGGGTTACGTAACACAACCGTCGTGGGGGATCGGATGAGGATGATTTCGAAGGGGCCGTGTCAAGACTGGTGGTATTTACTGCAACTCTCTATTGATGTCATGGGGCGGCGTTACCAGACACTGTCTCCAACTTAATACACTGGTCCTTGCACCTGACGATCATAAATATTTTTTGACGGTCACTAGCCCTGCGCGAGTTGATGTTGACTAAGCCGTACGCATCAGCCAGGCGGTTACGTATACTATGGATTAATATGTGTTCTTGTTCTTCGTATGGTAGCAAAGGTGACTGCATCTCTACCGGGAGGCGTAGTTAATGCCTGAATATTAAAATAGCCAATGAGAATCCCGTAGACCCATGTTCTGATTTTCAATAAGCTAGAATGCATTGACGAAGCACCTCATCCCACAACTCGGATGATGATCTGCTGATAAACGATTGTAAAATAGCTTTAATGGTTCTATTTGTCCTTTCGACTAGACCGTTACCTTCTGGGTGATACGCGGTATTATGCGTATTCCTTATTCCTAATAACTTGCATATTTCGGCACTGAGATGACATTCAAAGGCCGGGCGTCGGTCGGAGTGGAGTAAGAGTGGGGCACCATAACGGGAAACCTAATGGTCGATGAAAGCCCGTGAGACAGTCAGGGCGTCTTGTTGCGGAATGGGTACTGCTTCGTAACATTTATTAAAATAATCTACCATGACTAATATGTAGCGATTTCCTTTTTTTGTCGTCGTCAATGGTCCCATAATATCGACACCAACTTGCTGATGCGGTCCAGTTGTTCCCATCGGCATTGACAGTGCACGTGGTGTTCGCTTGGGCGATTTTATTCGGCAACACGTGTTACAGTTTTTGCAAAAGTCAGTTACATCTTCGTGCATAGACGACCACCAAAAGCGCCGGCGAACAGCATATTCAGTTCTTCGTTCTCCTGAGTGCCCGAGTTCGCGATGAACTTGCTCCACAATACTCTGGGTCTTTACTTGCGGTACTATAAGCAGGGTTTGTCAGGACTCATTAACTAGGAATAGCGTGTTACCAAACAATTTTATGTTGCTCCATTTGCTACACATACGACGCGTAGCGAGGGACTGGTCTCTTAACTCCCTCATGGACGGCTTATTGTTACCATGTAATTGTCTTAGATAAATAATCTTTAAATCTGGATCTGCTGCTTTCAGCGAGGACCAGTCGGTCTCTATTGCCGTTCTCAGAATTGCAGCAACGGTGTCTGTGGACAGAGATAGGCAAGAGAGAGCATCTGCAGTGGTATGCCTATTCCCCGGACGACACTCGCATGTGAAGTCAAATTCTTGCAACCGTTCCTTCCAGCGAGCTACTTGTCCTTCTGCATCGCGAAAAGAACGAAGCCACTGTAATGAACGGTGATCCGTGCGCACATGAAAAGGTCTACCAAGTAGATAATGACGGAAGTGCTGTATGAATTTCACTAATGCTAGTTTTTCTCGACGTGTTATGGAATACCGTGCTATAAAAATTATATTACTCTTGCAGTTCGCTCCGAACCCGAAAGGTGTAGGTTCATACGCGTCCCGCCCAGTCCAAGTCCAAAAACGATAATTCTGGGAGAGAACGGTTCTGTATTTAATCAAAAAAGAGAATTCAAACAATTACCAAAACAATATTACACCGACTTTCTAATCACCACAACAGGTTCCGTTACTGGAAGAATAAGTGCTTCCAGTCAGTTACTGCTAGAGTATCAAATCCAAATATGGCTGTAGCCATATTCAATATCAATTTTAAACAACATATGTATAGTTCAGAAGGAAACATAGAAACTTCAATATAAGTACAAGATATAGAAATAATAACAAGATACAAATGATAAAACCTCAAAATGGGACCAGATAAAGTACCAAAATATCGAACAGAAGAGTCAGTCATATCATAACACAAATATATATACATGGAGGGATTTTCCAAAAACAAAGCCTTCAAAATAGATTCTACACGTGCTTCGCTCTTTTCTAGTCGCCAGATGGCGTACGCAAAGAACCTCTCCTGGCCATCTGGAGCTTCTTCTGATAGAACTGCTCCGATAGCTGAGGAACTAGCATCCGTATTGAGTATGAACTCGCCGTCTGCTGAGGTGTCGGGAAAGGCTAATATTGGTGATGAGGTTAGCCGTGCCTTCAAATGCCTGTTGACACTCGCTGGTCCGTAGAAATTTTCGTCCTTTATGTGTCAGTCTGTGCAAAGTTGCTGCCAAGGATGCAAAGTCACGAACAAAACGTCTGTAATTGGACGCGAGACCCAGGAAACTGCAAACGTCTTCAGGTGTTTTTGGTTGCGGCCAAGTAACAATAGCACTCGTCTTTTCATTATCTGTACCAACGCCATCTGAGGTGATAAAATGTCCTAAGAATGCTACTTCCTTCTGCAACAGACGGTATTTGGATGGTTTTACTTTTAGGTTATGTTTTCTAAGACGCTTCAGAACAGCTTTCAGATTAGCATTGTGTTGTTTGGGTGTGCTACCTTATACAATAATATCATCAAGGTAAATCAAACATTTGTGAGGCGCTACATCTTGTAATACTGTTTGAATCAGTCTTTGAAAAGTAGCCGGAGCATTCGTTAACCCGAAAGGCATTACCTGGAATTCATACAAACCATTTGGTACTATAAATGCAGTTTTCTCCCTGCGGTTAAACTTCCACTTACCAGTACCCAGATGCTAGATCTAATGTGGAGAACCAACAAGCACCGTTTAAGGCGTCTGGTGTAGTGGAAAAGAATACAATTTAGTTATGGCATTAAGGCGTCGTTAGTCTACACAGTCGGAGCGAGGAGTCTCTGTTCTTCACAAGAACATTAGTTGACGCCCTGGGAGATGATGAAGGGACTATGATCTTTTTGTCTATCTTATCCTTTATCATCGACTCTAGTTGTGGTCGGTAGTTTACGGGTACTCTGCGAGGCGGCTGTCGGATAGGTATATGGTCCCCTGTGAAAATAGAATGTTGCACTGTATTGGTACGATTTTCAGAAATGCTTTCCTCGAACACAGAACTAAACTGTTGTCGTTGCGCGACGATCAATTTCCTGTATCATTTCGTTGCTTCCTACCAGCTCTGAAATTCCAATGTGAGCTACAGGCTTAGTCACCCCTGCATACCGGTGTAGGTGTACAGTAGCCTCGCCGATTTTCGCTTCTGCCCTATCCAGAAATATGGAAACTTGGTGTCTTAACATAAAATCTACGCCCGATATCATGTCCCAGGTTAATGTAGGGCAAACTAAAAACTCATGAAAAACCGAACACTTCTCTACTGTTAAGTCTAATACTATCTTATAACACACTTTAAGGGGGTCCCCACTAGCTGTTATTAATGTTGAAGAGCATCATTTTTGCTGGACTTTATGGTGCAGCCTCATTAGGAACGCTTCCTTGATGAAGGATGCGGAAGCTCTAGTATCTAGCAGTATGTCAATCACCAAACCTTGCACTCTACATTTGAGGGTGATGGGGCTGATATGATTAACATGACAGGAAGATAAATAGAAAAACGTATGGCTCACATGGATTACGAGGTCGGTTATTTCCACATCTCCAAGTGTTCCTGCCGAACTGTCTGCAATACATACATCCCGTTTGACGCCTGTGATAATTGTTATACGGTGGTCGTATGTTCCCAGTCGAGTTTGATGCCCCAAGACTAATAGCCCGCCTGGGAATCTGTGTGATCACTGTGGCTTTCGGAAGACTATCTACATGACTCGGTTCTACGGTGATTTTGACTCCGTTACACTTACACACTTCGAACCTACCTCAAAAATGAAAATACGAAATGTTTTCCCCCTACACAAGCGGTCCAGGTCGTGGAAAAGAAATAGCGGACTATTTGAACTGAGCCCAACATTTTACTCCGAGTGTGGTGGTTTATGCACCAATGTTGGTAGCGAATTCAAGGTAATAAATCTAAAATCTCCATTTCTTTTTTGGGTCATACCTTATTACCACATACCGTGATGATGGATTTACCCTACAGATCAGGACTGAACTGTATGTCCCAACCCATAATCCAAGTTTACTCAAGTAATCAAAGTAGTTCTATTTCGTTAATACCTACAGCGTCTAACATCACCTCCTTGCATCGTGATTCAAAAACCGATATGTTTTTTACGTCAATGCGTATTACATTTGAGCGGAAATATGCACGAAATTTAAAATGAATCGTGTTTCTCAACATGCCACTCAGAAATGGATGTTGAGTGATCTTCCAAATTTTATTCAAACTTGCAACTATAGTATTCTGAAAGAAAGGTTAAAGCGTTAGTGAGATAGTATAGTTTGTAAAAAATACTACTTTCATGGCGTGCATTTAAAAAGACATGCTATTTAGAGAGAAAAAAGGTGACAATCAACCAATATTAATGCATAAATTAGTATCATCAAACCTGGGTCACTAGCTGGTTTAATATAATACACACCAGAATCTTTGAAAGCTTATGAAAAGAATATGACCTATCTAGGCCTTATCTCATATAGATTTATTGTAGGGACTTGTAGCTCGTGTTCTACTCATAAAATTTTAGACCCTGATATATATATATATATACGTATATATATATATATATATATATATATATATATATATATAGCATATCACCACAAGTGCAAGGTTAGAAACGTATGAAGACTGATATCTATATTTCAGATTCAGTAAGAAAAGCTTCCTTTTCCGTTCAAAACTAATTTTTCAACAGTAGTATTTTATTTTATTCAAAATCTTGTAGACTGTGTAATATTTGTCGTGCTCCGAAATGGCAATATCAGAAACAATTGAGCAGGCTTTTCAAGGCCACAAATGAACCAGTTTTGTTGCATAAGCCTGGTAGTACGGAACGTCAAATGTTGGATAGTACGTTAAGTACTATGATTTCAAATGGGTCTTACAATATTCCTATATGTATTGATTCAGATGAATTGTCATCCTCACAACCTCGAAGGCAGATTTTGGTATGTAAGCAAGTATTTATTAATGGGCGGAATCAAGCCATTCGATCATTCGAAAACACTGGCTAATTTTTATTATGCCTCAGGAGAACAAATCAGACGTGCAATTGAATCTTGCTTAATAGCTCGTAAAACATGGTCACGTACAAGTTTTGATGAACGCGCTAAGATATTCTTAAAAGCAGCAGATCTTGTTAGTAACAAATATCGCATGGAATTGTTGGCATCAACTATTCTAGGTCAAGTAAGACAATATATTTTCATTTTAAGCTACGCCCATTTCAAGGCAAAAACGATTTTTCAGGCTGAGATAGACGCGGCTGCAGAATTAGCGGATTTTCTACGATTTAATGTGCAATTCGCCTCAGTACGTATTTATCTCAAGTTAAAGTCTCTTCTCAAACACAGGAAGCTCTGCAATATAAACCGATCAATACTGAGGATGCAAAGAATACAGTAGTTTACCGACCAAATGAAGTAATTATCATCATTCATTACTTGTGACTGCTCTTTGTATCTTTTCTCAAAGGGGTTTTGGGCTGCTATACCACCATTCAATTTTACCGCTATTGCAGGAAATCTAGCAAGTGCTCCAGCTTTGATGGGGAACGTTGTAATTTGGAAACCCTCTGATACAGCTGTGTTTTCTAATTATCTTGTTTACAGGTAACAAGTTCACTCTTATATCTTTGTAGAAAGTTGCTTTTTGAAGATAGTCATGAGGAGGATTTTCTGTCTATTTTCATTCAAACAGCGTCATTTCTTGTTAAATCTAACATAGAGTCTAACTATTCTGACGTTGTGAATCTTACTAGCATGTTTCGATAGATATATCCTCAACTAAGGTCTGTGAGTTTGTAAGGATTTCATAATCTTTACTGATAAACTCATAAATAAATAAGTAACTAGACAATTGTGCAGATTCATCAAGGAAACTGGTACTAAAAATTCGGTTATTAGCCAGTCGGTCAGTCAGCCATACCGTAGAGCTAGGTACCACATTAGTAGACAAATGCACTTGTCGATTCAAATCCCATAGTATTAGATGTAGTAATAGTACCAGCAGTAATCGGAGATTAGGATTCGAAGAAATCTTTCCAGAAGTATAATCAAGTGAAGTGAATTTAAAAGAAGAGAAGTCGTAAATAATTCAGATTATCATATAGGGAAAGACAAAACATGGATGCATCTGCACCATTGCAAACGATTTTGAACCATGTCATTCAAACTTTCTATCGTCTTGTGGCTCCCACTCGGGTAGTCTTCATCTACTACATGGCTCAGTCTAGTCGTTAAGACCTTTATGGATTCGTGCCATGTTTTGGTTTAGTCAGTTCCGACGAAATGTGAATATCTGGTCTATACAGCCACGTTCAGGTCTAAAACCAGTCTGGTTTTATCAAGTCTGCTCTTCACGAGCTCTAGTTAGGCGTGGGAGTATAATCGAGGCAAACAATTTAGTCATTTAGTCAGTTACAACATAGAACTTCGTACGTACTACATAACAAATCCCATAGTAGTGGAGATAGTAGAAGTATTAGCAGTAATCAGAGAGATTGGGGTTTAAAGATACGATTCGAGAAGTATGATTCAGTGAGATAAACAGTCTGGTCAGTTGTTAGTGGAACAGTCTCAGGAGAAGTGGAGCTACCACCCACTCTCAATCCGAGAGATTAGAGAAAAATTCAACTAACCCTCAGTCACACTTCAATTACCCACGGTCTCCAGTCAACCTGATTGTCAAGTTGATGTGAGTCCTCCAATTCTTAATGAGGTTGAAAAGGCTATAGGCAACCTCAAGCGAGGGAGAGCAGCAAGCCCTGATAAATTAACCGTTGAGATTTTTAAGGATGGAGGTTCAGTTTTAGCTGTTAGACTGACTAAGCTCTGAGCCAGGACGTGGGAACTGGACGTAGTCCCATCTGACTGGTCTCAATCGCCGGTCGTCCCAGTCGGCAAAGAAGGACAAGATTCCTGTTGCAACAACCAAGGCGGAATCAATTGAACTATTGCTGCCTAAAATATTAGCCTCAATAATACTTCGGCGCCTAACAAGAGCTGGTGAAGAGCAGACTAGATAAAACTAGACTGGTTTTGGATGTGGACGTGGCTGTGTAGACCAGATATTCACACTGCGTCAGGTTCTAGAACATGGACACATGTTCACACGTCCCGTAATGATAGTATTTTTGGACAAAAAGGTGGCACTTGACTCGGTTGGTTGTGAGTTTCCATGACAGTGGCTGTCACGGAAAGGAGCACCACAGCAATACATTATCCCTATACAAGCTCTTTACTCGAACATTACTGATCTAGTGTGTAGGCGGCTTGTGGCGAACTGTTATCTGGATGGATTGCTTTAAGTGGTATTCATCAGTATTGTCCACTTTCTCCATTACTCCTTAACTTTGTCATTGTGATGTTTCTAGAGACGACTCTCATCGTCTGACTTTCCAGGAGTTGACCTTCTTGTTGACATAATTGTGCTTGGTGAAGACGCAGACAAAATTCAGAGTCTGCTGACCACCTTAAGCAACAATGCAAGCATGTTCGGGATGAGATTCTCCCCATCGAAATGCAAAATGTCTCTCCAGGATTAGCTTGCATCGGTACCTGAATTGGTTATACGAAGTTAAGTAGTTGAGCGTGTCGACCGCTTCATTTATCTCGTGCTGATGATGCGGCGTGTGACGAAATCTGGGCGCGGGTGCAAAAGGCTTGACTGGCTTTTGCCAACTTGATCATGGGTGTCTTCGAAGCATTGTTCGTGTATCCTGGGACCACCGATTAATCAACGCTGGTGTTAGGGAACGGGTACTAGATACGACTGGCAAGTCTATTGACTATTCATCGGTCGAGATGGTTGGGACATGTGTTAAGTATGCGCAACCACTGACTGCCTCGACGAGCGATGTTTTGTGATGTAGGGGTGGGCTGGGAGAAAGCTAGGGGCGACCAAACTAAAGCATGGCACAGAAATCTAAAGTCACTGACAACTGAACTGAGCCATGTCGGTAGGTGTAGACTACCAGGTTTGTGGGTAGCGGGACAATCGTAACCGATGGTTAGACTTTGGATGTCATGGTTCAAAATCGTTGGCAAGGACGCAGATGCATCCGTATCTTGTTTTCCTCTTAAATCTGATCTTCGTATGCTTGATAAGTAATTTGTATTATACCTAATCACTCATTATGTATGCAAATCCAGAGCTCTAAATTTTTGGAAAATACTTCGATTCGTTTCGTCAGGCTTTAGAAATAATGCTAGCCAAAGATAATATCTTATCAACAATCCTCAGCTTATCATGGAGGTAGCGTTAATTCACATAAATCATATCAAGATTTATAAATATTGATAAGATTTATGTTATGCAGTAATTGTTTGGTTTAATGTTCATTAAAGCATTTGCACTGGTTGAGAGATGATGTACTTTCTTTAATATTGTTTTCACTAACCGTTTTCTAATGAATGGCTAACTAGTAATGTGTACTGCTAGGACAAATGCCAAAATGATAGTCAAATTTATTTAGTTCCTCTGTTTTTTAGTACCAGTCACTAAGTAAAACAAGTAGTTGCTGAGGCTCACATATCTCTGTGGTGCTGTACCCTTGTTCTTCATTCTATTTTCTCGGGAACATTGTTTGGAAAAATGAGAGTTAGAACGAAATTTCTTTCAGACATACTGAACTGAAGTATATGAATTCGCAGTTATAACAATGCATAGCTAGTATCAATTCGGTTTTAGTTAAACAGTATTGCTAGTTAACAGTTTGTTACTTGTATGTATTGAGACTAATAACCATTTGTTTATCAATCTGGTCATCAAGTGGAGGCTTAGTGATTAAAACCCTACACCCACGTAGTATGTTTCAAGTTCGAACTTCTCTCTTCTCTGCTTTGGCCTTCATAGTCAGTTAGTATCATTAGCCCTCACACAAGGTGTTACTGAATACCAAGTACATAAGCCTTTACTAAGAAATTGAGTACCATAATAATTAGAATCTTACTGTCGTACTAAATAGTTTGTGGATTTACTGTACATGTTTACTCGAAATTTTATGCTACACTTTACAACTTTGCCTCTTAATTTCATTTTATGATTTTAAAGATTATTACGCGAAGCTGGTTTACCCCCTGGTGTAATTAACTTCGTTCCAGCGGACGGTCCAACATTCGGTAAAATAATCTGTGAACACCCTCACCTTGCTGGTATAAACTTCACTGGAAGCACTAAGTAAGAATAATCCGTTTGTTTATTTGTGACAAATAATTGATGTAATATGAAATCAAAGAATGAAGGTTTTAGTGCTGTTGATGTGTTAAGACATGATATGATGGGGATATGGGTTTAGACATTGAAGGGTAATGGACCCACAAAATCGATATTTCTCAATCGTTTATAACACCTAGTCGTTATTTTTCTATTAGTACTTCGTATCTAGGCACGTCCTTGTATCATAGAAAAGTCCTTTCTTCTTTTTTTTTCAATCTCAAACCATTTGATGGGCTCGGTCCAATCTATATCCGTTACAGGTTAATGAAACTGAAACATTATTGATACCATTTACTGAGGAACAATACTACAGTCTGCACCAAAAACTAAATCATTTGCTGAATTTTTGAAATTATTCACTGGTGAATGTAATATGTGGTGATGCTAGACCACTCTAATCATAAACACTTAGTCAATTTACAATCTTTTTTTTTATTAATAGGATACGATCGTTTATTAACCTTTATATGCTTTAATAATAATAGGAATAACTATACTTTTTGGTGATATCCCAATGAGTCGAAATTAGTATTTCTGATGTTTCGTGACTTAATACAAATCACTTATTCAGAGTATATAAATGAGTAGAAATACAAATTTCACCCAATGCTCGGTTTCTTTAAAACTGTCAAGTCCAACCTTGGTACTGGTACCCAGACTCATTTACATGTTTTGTTATAACTTCATTGATTATGGTGAATGCATGCATGCTTATATTTTTTTTGCCTATACTATTTCTTATCCATTATTTAAAAAATATGCTCTTGTTAATTATTCCTTGTTAACTTTGAACATATGTTTAGTTAAGCTCATCATGTGTGTCTGACATCTATGTTCTAATTGATTATCTGTAATTCATGCATTTGTTATCTTATATGAAGATTAATTTACTTATTATTCACTGATTAGGTTTTTAAGGCTACTCCTGTTCGTATCAATTCATGTTTTCATATTTACTCGTCCAGTTTACTTGCTCATATGAATGTCTACAATGTACATACCCTAAATGTAGTTTGCAATTCAACTTTTCATTACTAGATTGTATTAGTGTTATTAGTCTACAAAAGAGATACTAAGTTTTATAGGCCATATATTTCACCAGCATCATGATTGTCCAATCATATTAAAATGAAACAAAGGGCACTAAAGTATTATGGTGTTGGGATTTTAAATGTATGAACTATTTTGTTACAGTTTAAATAGTGTTAAAAATCATCGGACACCGTGATTTTTTGGTTTTGTTTTTCTACTTTTTTCCTGCATGCTAGAACTACCTCCACATTTGCTCTTGCTTTCCGATTAGTTATTTTATTCTTTACTATCAAGGGTCAGTTACTATCTGTCATTAACTGACAGTTGTGTTATACGATGATTTTACCTTCTATGTGAAACTGATGAATGCTGTCTTCTAGGCGAACACTCCTTTTATATCTTGTACCATTTTACGCAACAGTCCAACTGCTGTTACCTCGTACAACTTAAGCTTCTTAGCTATTATGATTAAACTATTTTTACAGTAGATGTTTGGTCTCCATCTCATCTGGTGCACAATTTGTCTAAAGATGTGAACCAGTTATGAAGAGTTCGTCCGCTAACATTTCCCATTCCAATACTTTTATTGTTGCGTTTTTATCATAAATTACGATCTATATTTTAGGACCTTTCGTTCTATATTGAAAGTGATTGGCAATAATCTCGATAAGTACCGTGGTTATCCACGAACTATAGGTGGTAAGTTATAAGGTCGAATTGATAAAGCAATTGATGTTTTATTTTCTGTTTAATTTTACGTATGTATAGATAACTTAACCAAACTACTGAATCGATTTAATCTAGTTTTATTGAAGTGCTTAACTAAGTAAAAGAATATTATATTAATATATAGATGGTTTTTGAAGCGACACTGTTACATATTGCAAATTCCAGTAATACTTACTGTGTCACACTTGTGATGCAACTTCCTTCTTAGTAAATCACTGAAGGAGTTGAACTAGTGGGAGTAAATTTTATTTTTTTACAACACGCGAAACATCTAATCTTACAGTCTTCTACAAGAGTCGCTTTATTATGAATTGATGAATAATCAATAGCTCATTTCCCGACCTTAGCTGCTACCCTGACGTGGTGGTTGGGCTTGCCCATCGTAATGACCCAACCGAGCTATATTAGTTGGGACATATGTTCCTGTAGGTTCTACCATTCCAGGCAGGTCGAATGGAGAACGATGAAACTAAAAGCAGATACCCAAGGTCTGATGGCGATGTCGTACTGCTAACTCATGTAAAAAAGAATCGATATTTTTGGTATAGGACTGTAATAAAAAATTTTCTATTCAGCTCAAATAAGACTTAGAAATAGAAATAACGAGTATCTTGCTCACTAAATATCCTAAAATCAGAACAAATTTGTTACAAAATTCCTAAATATTCCAAAACTACGTACGACTGAACAAAGTCTTAATAGTCGAATGTATATATTGAAAAATTGAATGGTCAGTCTTTTCGTCTTTATGTTACTACAAACTGTTTTGATGAATCATTTCTCAGTCGAATCATTATCGAACTACTCATTGAGATCGTTTGTAGAGATTTAAAAAACTCCATAGTTCTTGTCATGAACTGGCATCAGATGTAAAAGATTATTTGAGAACATTAGGTAGCTGTTTTGTCTCCATTCAAGTTACCTATCAGGCAGCATCTACGAACCCATACAACATCCAATCCAAAGCTTTCAGGTTTCATGATAATAATTAAAAGTTACCTGAAATAACTGCCAACATGGTTGGACAGGCAAATCAGCTTTTTTTTTATCGAACCTTCGGGGAACATGTGGTGCGTCAGATTTTGACTCTGATCAGTGTTGTGCTTCTGCAAAGTCTAATCTTCTTGATGAGTCCGATATCGTATAGGGTTTTAGATAATCAGTGCTTAAAAATTTCAAACTAGAACGAACAAGTTGTCCAGTGATGTGGTTGGTGGTGGTTGTTGTTGTCAATAATTCTCCAGCTGATAATCAATTCATTATGAGGAATATGATAGTATGCACGTATCTTATATATAATTATGTAATAAACATAATTTTCAATTAATACTTGTAATGTAGTTTCATATTTCAAATGTTGAAAGTATTATAAGTGAATTTTTTCAACCTGTTGATGTTTTGTTCGGTTGTTCCGTGTTTGTTGTAAACTACCAAGAATTTCCTTCAAACAAATGCTTTAAGTTTTAAAATGGAGTCAGTAGTTTTGAATACTTGTATGTGTTTCACGTTACGTTTTTGTTACAGAAGTAATCTCTTTTTACCTGAGAACAAATATAATTAGTTTAGAAACCTGGTCCATATGTATATTATAGTATCAATCTAGTTAAGTATCAGCTACTTAATATTTGTTTGGTGAGTAATATTTTATATTCATCGTTAATCATGTTGGGCTTATCATGTATATGTGTAGATTTTTCACCTCTCTATTTTGCCACGATGACGGTAACCGACTGTAGGAATTTTTGATTACATAGTTATACTATCTAACATGAAAGTTTTTAACCGTGAATAATGTTTTTTTGGCCATAAATTGTGTAAAATCCATTTATCCTTTTATGTTTTGTTCGCGTATTGGTTAAATCTAATCCGTTAATTTCATCTTTCAAACCAATAATAGTGATGATGATAATAATAATAATGATACATATATTTTACTTCTTTTTAACCTCTATATTTATACTAAATTATTCTATTGAATTGTTCATCACATAGAATGTGGCGGTAAAAATTATCATTTTATCCATCCATCTGCAAATTTGGACGAGGCTGCTCTTGGCACTATCCGAAGTTCATTTGAATATTCCGGTCAGAAATGTAGTGCATGCAGTCGACTTTATGTGCCTGAAAATTTGTGGCCAAAATTTAAACAACTTTTACTTGGTCATTATGAACAATTGAAGATTGGATCACCACTTGATTCAGATACATTTACATCTGCTGTTATTGATCGTACTGTGAGTAGTTAGTGTTATTATTTATCATTGTCTTTTTTGAGAGTTTTATGGTCACTTGCTTATTATCTGTTATATTGGAACCCTGGACAACTACTTCATGATTAAAGGATTTGAAGTTCAACTACTGAGTTACAGTTCCGAATGTTGATATGAGCGATCGGGTAATATTAGTAGCGGAAGTTCGGTTTTTAGCTACTGTCGCATGTTGAAACCTCACTCCTTCTGTTTCTGTTTGAGCGATCGGATAATATTACTAGACATTACACTTGGGTTGTGACTCAGCTATGTACACAAATATTTACATAATAAGTAGGTTTCATGTAAAGGCATAAACAGTATAACTCGAAGTATATGTTAGGATATTCATCCAATATCCTAAGAGAATTATTTGTAAGTCCAGTTCTATTGTTCATCCTAGCTATCAATGTCACATTCTTCAAATGTTGTTTCCTGTTCGACCTAACTGTATAAATACGCATTATCTGTAACGTTTTATGACCCGGACCTGGATCCTTAGCCTCTTCTGGACTCGGACCTTGTACTTTCTGGATGCTTGTAGGAATACACGTTCTACTTCATATTAAGTCTTCTTCTATTCAGTGTGGGGGGTGTTTGGGACGCTTGGATTAGAGTAGCTTATCGTGTCACTGGTTCATTGTTTCGGTCTCGTTCACCGACTGAGGAGGACTCATAATAGTTCATGTATATCAAATGACGTCTTGACGTGCATTCGTAACAGTGTACAAAAATACATTCTTAAGTAGTTGAATTTAAATTAATGATCTGGTTATCTCAGTCTCTTGATATTCAAAATCTGCTAGTGATGGATTATAAAGTATCCGTCAACATAATTAACTATTGTCCTATAATTTATTTTCTACTAATTGCAATTTGTCAATTTTTACCCTCAGCATGTTGGCTTCTTTCTATTTTTATTTTACTCTTTTACATCTCTGTTGATTTGAGTTATCCTTTTTATATTTAGGCTATTCTACTTTATTTGCTGTTTTCCTATGACATTTGGAGTATGTGTTTGTACAACTATATTACAATGTCCTTACCATCTTATGGGTACTAGCAGCATCGTCAAATCTCTTTTAATGTTAAGTGGGAATTGAACCCTGGATATAATTACTTGTTAGTTCCTATGTTGTCTCTATTAACTCTTCGATGTCTACACTGAGTAGTTAATTCTAATCTGAATCTCAGGATGTGTATATCTTCCCTAAGAAGGTCACAAATATACTATTATCTCAAAATTAGGTGTACAGGTAGTGTTGTTTGTTGTTTCTAAACATTTTAACACCAAGGTTTAGTTTTACTTCCAAGTATAACATCGAATGAACCGTTTTTCACTCCTAATTTGTATGATTTTTTATATATTCAACAGTAGACTGGTACATTTTCCGTGAACAGCCAGAGCCCTTTCACGGCGTGGGCAGCTGGGAAGTAACATCCGCCCTTATACTTATAAAAACACAAGACCGAATCGGTCAGAATCAGATCCTTTCTACACTTCCTAATAACTCTTATCTCCACGACCAACCCTTTTTCAATCGTCTGTCACCTCGCGCCGCTCAAGCAAACGGTTTGAGCTCACGAAACCTTATTCCTGGTCTCTTGAAACCCCTCTCTAAATTATAAATTGAAGCTTTTAATGTTCGTATGAACATATGGGTATAATTTTAGCATTTTAAACACATAAAAAGCTTGTGTTGACAATGTACTATGTTCATTTGTTAATAGTCCATAAGTGATTTCGCCAATAGATATGTGCTTTGCTTATTGTGAACTATTTATATGTAAGATTTATAAATATGTGATTATAGTTTTGTGGTTAATAATAAATGTTTTTACTGCCCTCTGAAATAAATTCAAGCGATACATTATGTTACAATTAATTTCAATTACCAAGAATACAGATTCATTTACTTAGTTTTGGGTCGTATGTCTCACTGTATTAAGGTTAGTAATACTAATTGGCTGTTCACAACGAATTTGTGAGTAAGAGCAAGGTTTGAACCAACAATCCAACAGTTAAAAGTCTACTGCTGTAATTACGTATCATGATTTTTCTAAAGTCAAAAAGTTACAAGTATTGAATTCTATCCTAGTAGTAACTGACAACCTTTCTGTTTCCTCTGTAAGTGCTGAAGGATTGACAAAATTCTTATTTGTCAATATTATAGAGAAGCCCCAAACGAGAATTAAATAAGTGTAGAATAGATAGAAGTTGTCTTGAAATATATCATTCAAATCTGTTTTTGTATATTCCTTCTAAATTATATTGTAAGAAAATAATGTACCTTTTTATTCGTATTCGAATAATTGTAATCTATTGTAAGTATAAAGACTTGAAAATTGATCAATATTGAATCATTTAATACGATGATATCTGTAAATTGTTTTGATACTATTTTGAAATTTAACCATGATACACGAAATGTGAATATATAAATCTAATTTTAGGCATTCGATAAAATCTCCGGCTATTTGCAATATGCATCCACTTGTCCAGATATTGAAGTTGTCGCTGGTGGTCATGGAGACGATAGTGTTGGTTACTTTATTCAACCTACAATTTTGATTACTAAGAATCCAATGGATAAGTTAATGAAGGTCTGTATTATTATTTTAACTTGTTAAATCGATATTGTTTTGCAACAAAAATAACTTTATTTTCTTTTGTTTAAATGCTTTAAAATTATGTTTAAAATGCCGTTTGTATTCGTTTCGTTACTCGGTTGTCCCACGATACACGAGCAATGCATCGGAGACACCTATGAATATCTACTCTGACTGGCCATGTTTCACATCCATAAATTAGCGCGAAGCGAACTACTGCGCAGTACACTCGTCCTTTAGTCAGCAAACGGATATCTCGCCTACGCCATAAGTGACGCAGGTTGGTAAAAGCTAGTCGAGCCTTCTGTATCCGTGCCGAGATTTCGTCAGTCACCAGGTCGTCGGCACTGATGAGACTCCCGAGATATGTGAAGCGGTCTACACGTTCGACTACTTTACTCCCTGTCTCTAATTCAAGTGCCGATGCAAGCCAATCCTGAAGCAACATTTTGCATTTCGAGGGTGAGAACTGCATCCCGAACATGCTTGCATTGTTGCTTAGGGTAGTCAGAAGACTCTGCACTTTGTCAGCATCTTCACCAAGTAGGACTATGTCATCGGCATATTCTAAGTCAATAAGCGAGCCTCCTGGTAATAGGTCTACTCCTGAGAATTCAGACGAAGATAATGTTATATCTAGG